TCTTTATGTGAGGACTTCCAAGACCAGGTCTTTTTTTGGTAAATCTCACCTGTGTAGTTCTCACTTGTGTATTTGCGAGATGGATTTTGGGGTTATGGCAGCAGCTATGATGCGTCTTGCCTTGCAGGGGTCTCGATGTGCACTATCCACGGCCGCTATTGTCACTTCTAGTATATGGAAGCCCTGTCCAGACTAGCACACTTCAGAGATTGCCGCTGCTTCACTTTGCCTTCTAAAGCCCCATTTCTGGTCAGTTCCATGCGCCTCGTCGACTCGGCGACGCTTCTGCGAGCCCCAGAAAGCTGCTGGACTAGATTTGCTCTTGCATGTGAAGCTGGCATCACACTTGAGCTCACTTCTGTGGGTGTTTAATCTAACAATCCAGGTACCTGTGGGCCAGCACACGAGTATCCATGTTTTCATAGCCATGCGCACTTGACCGTCATGCGAGAAAAATCTGTTCAGGCCGCAGGGTTGGGGCATGTTTCGAGTGGAAGTATTTAGTGTCGGCAGCCAATCTGTCGATAAGAGCCCGTATGAGAGGTCCAGATTGAAAACGCACCTGTGTTTCTCCGGAACTCCCTCAAGTGAAGACATCTTGTGTCGTTTGGAATCCTCCGCAGCTCCTACTTAACTGCAACTGGCACATCTACAATCAAATTAGCAACAGCTCCCTAAACCCTAAACCCTACACCCTAAGTGGCCTGCACTGAGAATTAGTCTCAGCGGCCTGGTATCCAATGTGATTCTGGTCCCAGGCTATGAAGACCCTTAGGGTCTTGGGACCTAAAGCCCTATTATTTGGGTCCTTGGACCCTTAGGAAGAGCTATGACGCTAGTTCGGCCATCATCATGTGCAGCACACCGCTACTTTCGCTTCAAAGCTTGTGCATGAAGCCCTTAGCATGAAGCCTGGCTTTCCCTTCCTCCGTTGTTCCCTAAACCCTAATCCCAAAACCCTAACCCCTAAGCCCTACGTGATCCATAAACCCTGATCCCTAAACCCTACTCCCTGAACCCTACATCTTGGTCCCTAAGCCCTAAACCCTTAGACCCTAAACCCTCACCCCTAAACCTTAAACCCTATATAATCCCCTATATATCCCCCTACATCCTGGTCCCTAAGCCCTAAACCCTTAGACCCTAAACCCTCACCCCTAAACCTTAAACCCTATATAATCCCCTATATATCCCCCTATTATACATCTTGACCCCTAAACCCTCAACCCTTAGACCCTAAACCTCACCCCTAAACCTTAAACCCTATATAATCCCCTATATATCCCCCTACATCTTGACCCCTAAACCCTAAACCCTTAGACCCTAAACCCTCGCCCCTAAACCTTAAACGCTCATCCGCCGCCTTGCTGTTCAAGATGCTGCGCATCAGCAGAGCTCAGCATCTGGGCCCTGACTAGCTCAAAGGGTCCGAAGTATCTACATATGCCAGAAACCAGGTTGCCATTAAGGAACTTAAGCTAAGTTACCATAATATGGGTATGTGATAGATAATAAAGGGTTCCTCATTAAAGTAACTTAGTGTAAGTTCCTTAGCAGCAACCCAACAAAGTAGGGTTTCTATACTAGGAATTTATAGTTTAATAGGGCTTCTTAGGCCAGTATTCACTATATGAGCTATAGTCTAAACTCCTGTATCCCCCTTAATAAGCCCTATAGTAGTCCCCTATATCATCCCCTATATAACCCCCCTTTAAGGAGTTTAGACTATAGTTCATATAGGCCCCCTTAATAAGCCCTATAGTAGTCCCCTATATCATCCCCTATATAACCCCCCTTTGAGGAGTTTAGACTATAGATCATATAGGTTTTTTGGGATCCCTTGGGTAAGTTGCCAGGGTCCCAGAGCAACTTTTGAAGGCCGGCGTAGCGGGTGCATGCTTGGGTTTCCGTTTGGGGGAGTTGGGAATAAGGTTTGGGAACTAAGGAATGGATCCTTATAGTAGTCCCTATATAACCCATTAGGGTTTAGGGTTTAGGGTTTAAGGATTAGTGATTTGGGTTTAGGGTTCAGGGGTTTGTTGGGTTTGTTTAAGGATTAGTGATTTGGGTTTAGGGTTCAGGGGTTAGGGCTCAGAGTTTAGGGTTTAAGGTTTGTCTGCAGTTCAGCTCCCAGTACAACATGGCCATCAGCATGGTGTCACTTGAGATAGGAGTTATTGCAGGGCTTGGTGAGTGCAGCAGAGGTTGTTGTGGAATGTTGGTAAATGTAATCTTTACTAAACCCTAAAGCCTAAGCTCGTGCTCAGTTGGGGAGACCTGAAATGCAACCATTCGTCACATGTTGCTCGTTACATGAGGAATAGGCTGCGAGATGAAGACTATAGTCCCACATAATTAAGTAGAGGATTTAGGGTTTAGGGTTTAGTCCCCCACAAATAAGTAGATAGAATATGGGGATAATATAGGGATAATGGAAAAGCAAATGGAAACTACTATTTAGGGTTTAGGGTTGAGGGTCCCCCTTAAGTAGATAGAATATGGGGTATAGGGGACCTTATTATAATATGCCCAAAGCCATATTATATTTACTTGGGGGGACTACAGTTTCAAAAAGCTCCGTAGCTTTCTTATTAAAAGGTTGAGCCTTCCGGCAGCACCTTACACATGTGGTGAATAAGTTACCCCTAAACCCTCAACCCTAAAACGCAAGTGTCCACGATATGTCGCTGCTTGCACATGCGTACATGCATGTCAACTAGGCAAGGCTAGCGGAAACCTACTCATGAACCAAGCCTGTAACAAGGAACAAGAAGCCCATGGATATCACTAGAACCTCCAGCTTCCTCTTCATGTTCACCGAAAACCTAAAGCCTAATTGATTCCTATATAACTCCTATATAACTCCTATATAACCCCTATATAACCCCTATATAACCCCTATATATCTCTATTATAACCCCTATATAGTCTCTTCCCTTCCCGACGAGCAACCCGTAAGTTGGTTCTGGCGCAGGTCTCTTGGACCATGTTGCACGTCTGGATGGCCTCGGGCGCCCAGCTAGCAGCATTTCCACGGGAAGAGCTCAGCGACGTTCGTGCACTGAAGCAGTACCCTGAAGGTGATTATCATGGGTTTAGGGCTTTATGGGTTTTGGGCTTCAGGGGTTTAGGATAGAATTAGGGGTTTAGGCCTAGGGGTTTAGCGTTCATGGGTTTAGAGTTTAGTGTGCATGCCTTCCGATTTACGTGTGAGCTTTGATCTAGGATCTTGGAGCGAGGACGCCATGAGAATGTTGAACTGGTCCCATTCCCAGTCAAGGGTCATGGAGGTGTCCTGCTACTAAGGACTAATAAACGGTATAGAGAATTCCCATCGACCGCAAAGTGATGTAAGCGGTAGAGATTTAGGTCCTTTTCCCTGCACCTCTTCACGGACCCAAGATCTCACATTTCAATCACCTTACAGAAACATTCCATTCCCGACTTTGAGCTTCAGGTACTTGCAGAAGCTGCATGGCCTACCACCCCGATTTCGACAAAGGCCTTGGGTACTGAGGTTAAGGTTCAGCATGGGTAGCTTTGGTGCGGAAGAAATATTTGATTGAAGGTAGGCGCTTAAGGCCTTGAAATTGAGGTTCAGGGTGTATTTCGAGATTTCAGCGGGGTATCATTCTAGGGCCTTAAGTTCCTGCTGTTAGGTGTTGTGTTGCAATTGGCGTTGCGACCTTGGCTTTGAGTAGAAGGTATGTTTCATATGAGCTATAGTCTAAACTCCTAGTATCCCCCCTTACTTACCCCCATAATAGTCACCTATATAATCCCCTATATAACCCCCTTTAAGGAGTTTAGACTATAGCTCGTATAGAACACAGAAGTGCAGTCTTGTGCAGGCAGCAGGGACCACATTAGCTCCTTCATATTTGGGGGGTTTCCCAAAATTAGGGGTACCTTCTTTGGGAGTCCCCATAACAAGGATTATAGTATATTAGAGTCTATATTGGGGTCCCCTTATTTTGGGAAACTACCATTTCTGGGGCATGACTGCATGCTTGGATTTTGATGAAGGCTGCCCTGTGAAGGCTCGTGTTTCTTTGTCATGCAAACTGAGAGATCTCCAGTCGTAACTGCGCAGCCGCCGGAGGAAACGCAAAGGTCATGTTCTAGGTGCCTCGTTTCCCAACCGGCAACTTAAGCCCAAGATTGAGACCAACCAACTTATAGTGCTCTGCCTTCACAGGTCTCTCAAGCCTTCGTCGAAGCTTGGGGCCATGGGTTCGATGATGTGGTAGTTTCCCCAAGAAAGGGGACCCTAATATACACCCCAAGATACTTTAAGCCTTATTCTGAGAACCCCTAAACCCTAAACCCTTATTATAGGAACCCCCAACAAGGTAGCCCTAATCTTGCGAAACTGCCGCATTGTACCCCAGCCCTGAACTTCGCATTGACATGCAAAGTTTGGAAGCGCGTTGTTGCTTGGAGGTCCATGGTAATTAGAACCTACTTAGTAAACTGTAGTTATAGCCTAAACATACGTCCCATAACTACAATTACCCTAAACATAATTGAGTTAGAACTACAGTTCCTAAGTAGGCTATAAGTACCATGGACTTCCAAGTGCCTGAACTGTCAGACGCCCTCCTCGCAGCCCAAAACTTCTGAGCCCAGAGGGATCCTTAGTGGATTTAGGATTATAGGTTTTAGGGTGATAGGGTTATAGGGTTCAGGGGTATAGGGTGATAGATTTTAGGGTTATAGGGTTATAGATTTTAGGGTTAACGGTTATAGATTTTAGGGTTATAGGGTTATAGGCTTTAGGGTTATAGGGAATACTGACCTGGACCATATTGTAAGTTTCCAGTGTACAAGACCTACTTTGTACCATGTAAATACACAGCAGCCCTAAACTGTATAAACCCTAAACCCTATAAACCCTATAAACCCTAAACCCTATAAACCCTAAACTCTATAAACCCTATAACGATTATAAACCCCAAGCCCTAAAGCCCTTCACCCGACATCGTTTTGCCAGCCCAGAGGCTCCTTCTTCGTGGTAGCAACCTCCACGATGCCGCAAAGTTGGATGCCCCGATGGATGTCGAGCTGGTGCTTCTGGGATTCTCCGATGCTTCGCAGGCCCGTGGGTTTAGGGTTGAGGGCTTACTTGGCTTGGTAAGTGGGTCGGTAATGGGGATAGCTGGGGTTACTTCAGGGGTTATAGGGGTTATGAACCTACTTACTAAGTCCCCATGATCCTCCAAGTAGGGTGTCTGACCTGGAGAAGCTTTGGTGTGCCAACCAGCCTGACCAGAGTCCGAGATAGTTTCCATGGCATGTTCTTCGAATGCAGATACGTTACCCGAACGCACCCACCCCCAGCCGGCACGACCAGGCAGAGGCGGACGAGCTCTCAGCAGCAGTGACCAGGATTCGAAATCATAATTACCATACGTGCAAGAAGGCTCATCCGGCGACGTAGGAATGCGCATATCTATCTATCTATAGGGTTTAGGGTTTAGGGTTTAGGGTTTCGGGTTACTATCTATCTATCTATCTATCTATGTAGGGAGAGATATGTATCTAATAAAACAGCAGCATCATAGCTGGGGCAGGCTCATGGTTCAAGGGCATGGGTCAAGTGCCCAAGGTTTACACCACAAGCTTGAGGCCGTGGGTCCAAGACCATCTTCAGCGGCGAGTTAACACCATTTTAGTGGACGACAGGTACCACCCCAAACTCAAAACCATAAACCCTTCATTCACACAAGCTGTGTATGATACGCCCTATGCCGTAATTCTGGGCTTGGGAGGCGCCACCGCCAAGTACCGCTAGCCGGAAGCCTCATAATCCTGATGCTGTGTTGACACTGCTCTTGTTTGATTCATGCGAGGCTGCTATGCGATCGGCACCGCTTGAAGCGTTTAGGGTTCAGGGCTTTCAACAGTAGACTGTGCGGCTGAGTCTGCTCCTTTGCCTCTTTGGCAGTGCATGGAAGTAATTAGCTTGATGTCAAAGATGCAGCTAGCCGCTAAAGCGTGTCGGGTCTACATGTCTCTCAAAGTCGAAGCTGCAGACTAAAGATCCCATTGCGGCTTGCTTGCTCAAAGCCACGCGGTTAAGGGTTCAGGGTGTTGGTTGTAGGGCTTCCCTACAACTTACATCTTCCAAATGCTTTCTGGTCCAACTGCCAAAACGCATACAGCACACACCACACTAGAGTTGTATAGGATCAAGGAGTTTGTCATACCGGGATGTTTTGCCAGGAACCTTACCTTAAGGAGCCCTAGGGGTTAGGGGTGTACGGTAGGCCGAATCTTTAAAAACACTGACCTTCGCATTTTCACCACCCTTCTCAAAATAATGGTTTTGCGCGTATGAAGGCAATGATTATGGGTATTTGGGAGGTCTACTTGAAGGCCCTGAAGACTTAGTAAGTAGATCCCTAAACCCTAAACCTTAATTCCGGAACTTCCCCCATTAAAGATGTAGTTGCCAGGTCCCCTGCGCCTATTCTCCCCAGGCCCTTCACTCTAGCTCAGGTGAAGCTGGGCGCCCTTTCAGAAGTTGAGACGCAGTTGGCTCTTCCACAAGATCCGACGCCTGGGCCCTGTAAAGAACCATAGCGAATCCGATGTACCACGTTAGGAGTATGGGACTTGTGGGTAGGTCAATCCTGCATTGGGTGCTAGCGTCTTGGATTCGGAAGGATGCGTGCGCCCAAATTCAGCGCTTAGCTCAGACGGATATGAGCTATAGTCTAAACTCCTTTAAGGGGGTTAATGTAGGGGATTATATAGGGGACTACTATAGTGGTTATTAAGGGGGATACTAGGAGTTTAGACAGTAGCTCATATGGACATTTATCATAAACCCAAAGGATCCTGGGTACATGGTACGAAGCAGGGTTTCTATACTAGAAATTACCGACTAATATGGTTTAGGTCCGTATTCCCCATATAGGTACTTCAGGTCCTTTGGGGAAAAGGAGGGACTCTGGGCTCTCAAACAGCGATCTTCACAAAAACACCACCCTTCAGAAAGCAGGAGGAATTCAGCAAGCCTATTCATGCTTACTTCTGTTTGCTACTAGGGTTTAAATGTTTGTAGAGGGTCCTGCAATGATTATTGAGACCTTGCTGGTTATAAGCCCGAATACGTAGCTGAAATTGTATCCGGAGTTCTATCATAAAGGAGGACCCATCCCTCAAGAGACTGACAAACATCCCGGTCAGGTTAAGACACTATTATAAGAGATTATGAAAGTACCCTCCCCCAAAAATAGAAGCCTATTAGGCCTGATGAAGCCTTTTCATTGTCTTTATTAGCTCCTTAAACCCTGGGGGGAGGGGACTACGGTAACCCCTTACACTGCCAACCCGACTTTTGGGCTTAAAGCCCGAGGTCCTTAGAACTTGATTTAGGGCTTAGGGTTTAGTGTTTAGGGTTTATATTCCGGGTTTAGGGTTTGGGGTTCAGGGTTTGGGGTTTAGGGCTTGGGGCTTAGGGTTTAGGGTTGAGGGTTTGGGTGGGGCCTTGGCAAAGCAAGAAGACGCACCATAAAACTGAACCCGAACCTTCAAGTAGTCTTCCTTTCATTGCCCTTTGCTTCATTTTGCAATCCCCCAAGAACGCACGCTAAGACAAACCCCTAAACCCTATATATCCCTATATATCTTTACATTATCCCAAATATAAACCCCTATATCAACCTCATATCGTCCCTATATAACCCCTCAAAAAAATCCCAGGAACTAATCCCTATGTATCGCCACAGTTCCCTATAGAATCCCCATATAAACCCCACATATCCCCTTTAAAATACCCCAGGAACTTGACCAATACAGATGGGGACCGGCCTCTGGTCCTGGCATGCCAAGAAGGACACGTGGAGGCCGTGCGGTTGCTCCTGGAGGCGTTGGGTAGTGAAACAGGTTTACCCTCAGGACCCTATGGCGGTTTAGGAGTTTAGGGTTTAGGGCTTAGGATGTAAGGTTTACCGGTTTAGGCGATATAGGTCATTGGGGTAATAATTGGATCATCTTGGGGTTATGTAGGGATAACGGAGAAGAAAATGGAAGCTACCCCTAGGGATCCATGTATGTAGATAATCCCTACATTGGGCTCCAAAGTCTGTAAATATTACCTACATTGCCTAAACCCTAAACCCTAAACCCCTAAACCCTAAACCCTAAACCCTTACACTCTAAACCCTAAACCATTTGGATCCCTAGGGTACTATTTAGGGTTTGAGCACGCAGCCAGACGGGGAAAGCCCTAGGGATGCGCAGGGTTTTAGGTTCAGGGCTTTGTGGGGGGTTTTAGGATTTAGGGCTTTAGGGTTTTAGGGTTGAGGGCTTTTGGGGGTTTTAGGATTTAGGGGTTCAGGGTTTTAGCGTTTTAGGGTTTAAGGTTTTATAGGTTTAAGGTTTTAGGGTTTTAGGGTTTAGGGTTTCAGGGTTTAGTGTCGAGAGATTTATGGGGATGAAGGAGGGTGATATGAGCTACTGCCAATCCCTTAACGTTGGACCCTGGGGTCCACCTTGTAGCGCAAGAGAGTCCCTAAGATATGCCCTAATAAGCAACGCATGTCCGTTAGGAGCTGACATAGGGATTATGTGGAGACATCACCCCAAATCCTATACCCTGTCTGGTAATTTTGGGTTGAGGCCCAGAGATTCTGTAGAGTTTGGGATTAATTCAGTTTGGTGGTCCCTGTAAACTTCTGTCTCTGAATCTCTGTGCGCTACGAAGACTACGGATGTACTGCGTATCCTTGCCTTCGGCGGCCTTCGGTTCCATCTGCCGGGGTTTAACGGTCATGGTGCAAGGAATCATTGAAGTTCTGTGGCTGTAGCTGGTCACTTGCACGTATTCCCTATATATCCGTATATGAGCGAACTTCTAAACTCGCTTTATGATTTATGGAAAGCAAGCCAAGGTTGGACACGGAATACACAAGCTTGTAAAGCGATGGGGAAACCTGAAAAGCCACACCCCGCAATCCAAAAGTCATGACAGTGCACTTCAACTTAGAGAACATGTAAGGCGACACTTTAGTTTCTATTTGCAACATCTACAACAACGAAACCCTGTAAAAATGACAGGGACCCCTGTAAAGCGACACCTGTTATGAGGCATCTATTACCTCGGACAAGGAGCTTAGACGGACGTTCATATCCCCAAACCCTAATCCCTAGACCCTAAACCCTTGTATAACCCTTCAGAATCCTTGGGAAGCTTGCTTGCCTCTGACCTCACAAGCTTCCGCATAACGACCCCAACTCTCAATGAACGCAACTTCCTGCTGTTGAGTAGAGTGCTACTTGGTTAGCTGTTAAGGAACTTACCCAGATGGTCCATGTACCCAATGATTAGGTACTTGGGTTTTGGGTACTAGTAATCTTAGTACAGGTTTTGGGCAAGTATATAATTATTAGGTACTTTGACCCTTAGGGCTAGTTTAAGCCACCATAATATGTGTATATCGTAAATGATAGTATGGTGACTTACTTTTAATTTCTTAAGGGCAACCCAGACTATGTGGAACCCTCGCATTAAGAAGAGGTTAGGGAACCTACTTCTAAAGGGTTGTCATATGGTCCTAATGGGCTTATGAGGGGGATGTGTCTCTCTATATTCCAAATAGATCCCTATACCTAATTGAAGGGTCCCTGAAAGTAGACCTTAAAACCTAAGCCCCAAACCCTAACCTCAAACCCTAAACCTCAAGCCCACACCCTAAACCCAACACCCCAAACCCTAAACCCTAAGCCCCAAACCCTAAATCCAAGTAGAAGCTATGCCAGGCTCGGGCAGACCTCGCCCTTGGGAACCGGGACGGCAGCACAGCATTGTTCACCGCCTGCTATCAGGGTCAGACTGAGGTGGTCAATTTGCTACTGGATGCTGGTGCCGACATAGACTCCAGATGATCTTGAGGAACATTTATCCACCTTCTATGTGTTTTTGTAATGAACTCATTTTGGAGGGCTTAGAAATTGAAACCATAAACCTAACCAAAAACCCTAAACCCCTAAACCCTATATTTCACTGTATGTCAATACATATCCCTAATATGACCCCTATGTCGGAAACCATACAGATGCTCCAGGATTCGGCCAACAAGATCGGCGCCACATCTCTGATGGCAGCCTCTCTTCAAAACCATGTCGGGCTTCTCCGTTTGCTGATGGAACGCGGCGCCGATGTGAACCTGCGTTGCAAGGACGAGCGGGGGCGGTATCCGAACAAGACCTTCCAAATACCCAGAGTAATCGACCTCTACTCTTCGGGCATTTTTGGTTTCCTCAGCCTAAGTATCCCTATTTCCTTAAATCATTTTTACACACATGTCTATTCCGATACATCCCATTTAAAGGAACTAGAGGCGGATGTTGACTATAGTCCCTAAGCCCTCATCCCTAAACCCTATTATAAACCCTTTACCCTCATCCCTAAACCCTACACCTAAACCAAAAACCCTCATCCCTAAACCCTCGACCCTTAACCCCAAACCCTACACCCTAATTCTTAAGCTCTAACCCCTAAACCGGGTTACCGAAAAGAAAAACAGAGTGTAACTAGAATGAGGAAACCCTAAAGTACTGTTTACTATACACCCATATTATGGTAACTCGAACTGAAGCTCCTTAAAACTAATCCAGTAGACCCTAAACACTAAACCCTAAACCCCAATCCCTAAACCCTACAACCGAATAAACCACAATCCCTAAACCGAAGCCCCTAAACCCAAACCCAACACCCCTAAACCCAAACCCCACAGCCCGCACCCCAATCCCGAAACCCCTTGTTCCCACTAGGATGGCACCACGGCTCTGATGGCAGCAGCTCTTCAAGGAAGTGTTGAAAGTGTGCGATTCTGGACCTGCTAATGAGGGATAATGGAAACGAAAATGGAAACCCTAGGTCCCTTTAAAAGGTTATATAGGGGTTATATAGGGGTTATACAGGGATAATGGAAAAGAAAATGAAAACTACTATAATGAGGTTATATAGGGTTTGGGGTGGGGGCCTGCTAATGAGGGATTAGGGTTCTAGGGCATATTGGGACAATGGAAAAGAAAATGGAAGCTATAGGGGTTATAGGTCCCTTTAAAGGGGTTATATTGGGGGTTATATAGGGATAACGGAAAAGAAGATGGAAATTACTATTTAGGGTTTAGGGATTAGGGTTTTAGGGTTTGGGGTTTAGGGATTAGGGTCTAGGGGTTTGGGGTTTAGGGTTTCGGGTTTTAGGGGGTTCAAGGTTTAGGGTTCAGTGATTATACGGTTTAGGGCATGAGGTGCTGTTTTTTTAGGGATGAAGGTTTGGGTTTTGGGTTTAGGCTCTATATGGTTTCTTGGACTCCCTTTCAAGAGGTTCTAACGGGGTTGTGTGAAGTCTTTGTATGGGTTAGTTCCCATACTATGAATAGATATTGCATATATCATATAGTTTGCTGATGAGGGTACACAGATATTTAGTTTCTTAACAGTAGCCCTAAACCCTACACCCTAAACCCAGGATTGCTGGTGGAGGCCAGCGTTGATCTGGACGTGTCTGATAATGAAGGCATCACGGCCCTCATGACAGCATCGAAGCAAGGCAATGCGGAGATTGTGCGCCTGCTGTTGCTGCGCGGGTTTAGGATTTAGGGTTTAGGGTTTAGGGTTTAGGCCTGCTGTTTAGCGTCGTGTTCGCTCTGGTTACTATACGTCCGTGGTATTGGAATCTAACTTCAGCTTCTCAACAACCTACATACCTCCCAGATGAACCCAGTGGCCATTTCATGTTCCATTTGATTGTCCATATGGTTCCCCATTATCATTATTATTACTATTCTCAGTATTCTCATTTATATGTACATACATGTCCAGATCCGTGTTCTGGTCACTTAGTCCTAAACTATATAGCCCCTATAAGCAGAATACTGGCACCATAATATTAGCTTGTTGGGGGCCGAGAGCGCTCAAGGTGATTCTTTATTATCAGATTGCAAACAGCAACTAGCAGGATTATTGCAAGCTTGGGCCCAGGGAGCCAAGTATACAAACAGCACTTAGATTGGGCCCAGAAGTCTGTAGATATTACCTACATTGGTTGTTTTGGATCCTTAGGCCCTAAACCCTACACCCTAAAACCCTAAACCCCTAACGATACACTGGGCTCCTAAAGACTAGAGTTACGAAAGGCTGTTGATCTTACTTACATTGCGCTACTTGCATCCCTAACTAAGCCCTAAACCCTAAACCCAAAACCTACATTGGGCTACCTGGACTCTAAACCCTAAAGGCTAAGCCCTAAACACCAAATAAACCTTAAACCCTGAACTCTAAGCCCTGAGAACCAAATCAACCTTAAACCCTAAAGCCCTTAAACCCTAAACGCTAAAACCCTCAAACCCAAAACCCTTAAAACCATAAACCCTTAAAACCCCGGACCCTTAAACCTCTAAAACCTCTAAAGCCCCTAAACCGCATAAGGCTCCTGGCTGGTGCTGACAGGGATTTGGCCAATCGACTTGGCATCACAGCAGCACAGGGTGCAGCTCACCAGGGCCACGTCGATACTGGGCTGTACAGGTTTGGGGTTTATAGGGTTTGGGGTTCAGGGTTTGGGGTTTAGGGTTTTGAGGTTAGGGTTCAGGGTTTGGGGTTTCGGGTTTGGGGTTTAGGGTTTTTGGGGGTTAGGGTTTGGGGTTTAGG